TCGGGTTGTCCTGCCACTCACGGTAGAAGAGGTACGTGAAGTTTTTGTTTTTTGGAATGAACGGATCAGACCTTTTGTATAGTTAGGCCTATTGGTGGAGTGAAGGTAGACTGCTTTATGTCTGTTTTGGTGAAAATTTGAATGAATTTGTAAGTAAATTGGTGTGGGTGGGGGAGAAATAGAAACAAGAGAAATATATACTGAAAGACAAATAGACAAACCAGCCACGAGAGACAGACTGAGTTGAGTATGAATCTGAAAGTAAAAGTAAGTAGGAATACAAGAATGAGTGTGTATGTAGCTGTGCGTGTGTGAGCAGTTGGGGAAGGAAAGGGTTACAGTGAGTAAGAAATTCAAAATGGAAAACATTTCACATCCTTTTAGATACATCGGAGCTGAGCAGACATTCACCAGGATTGAAAATAAGGAGACGTCACATATCTGCTAAAGAAGCTTAGTTGGTCATTACCTAATAGTTAAGAAGATCCATGAGAGATAGATGTATCAGGAGGTGTGGGATGTGCAAACTCATCATGTACACATTAAAGGTCCCCACTCTGCTGTAAGATGAGTTTGCATATTCAGTTTGAGAAATTTGGTCATTTTTCTGCTCTTTGTTTTTGTACTTGGGTGTTAAAAGTATATCATGTCAGGTATTCTTAGGTTATTTGATAGTGGTAGCTTACGTATCTTTGCACAACCTGATCTGTTTAAACAGATTTTCTGAGTGGTACAGAATCTTTTGGTGGATATATTTGGTATATAGATCCTCTGCTTAACTTAATAAATGCATATATACATATATATATATATATATATATATATAATATATATATATATATATATATATATATATATATATATATATATATTATATATATATATAATATTATTATAATGTTTTTCCAAACTGTTATTGTGTTTTATGCTATAAGTACAAACCTCTTGTCTTTTCTTATGTGTGTTTCTCGCCCTTCTCTTTGTTGTTTCATTTAACATTATTTATATTTTATTTTTATTTTTGTTTTATTTTTTAATTTTATTTTATTCAAACCTCTGTCTTGCAGTACCAAGTGGCTCAGCTGTACAGTGTAGCAGAAGCAAGCAAAAATGAGACTGGCGGTGGAGAAGGAGTGGAGGTGCTTAAGAATGAACCCTTCGACAACCACCCTCTACTCGGGGATAGATTTAGCAAGGGCCAATACACGTATAAAATTTATCACCTCAAAAGGTAAGTCTGTCGTGCCTTGCAAAAGCGTTGTAATGCCGGCAGATTAGGAGCTCAGAAGTGGATTTGCGGGCTTAGTCATGATTGTTATTCTAGTCCTTTTTTTTCTCTCTCTTTCTTTCTTTTATTTATTTAGAAGGATAATCTTCCTTAGTGTTAAGAAAGGACATGTCATAAGTGTTTAGTTAAGTCTCTGATATAACTCGTTTTATATTGCTGTAAATATATTGTATCTATACCTTAGGTGGTGTTTTGAGAAGCCCTTAGAATGTAAGGAAACCCTTGAAAGTCTGTATATTAACCAATAGTTGTCTTATTATATATAGAAGATTAAATTCATCTTTGTTTAGATGTGTCTTTGAATGGGAGAGGGGAATGGGGTGAAACGACTATAAATTTTACAGATTCTGTGCTTTGTTCAGCGAAGAGAAAGGTTTTAGCTGGAACTCTTCAAAGCCAAAAAGCAGGATTGCTAACCATTGTGAAGCTATTGTGATAGATGGGCATATACATGCATTTCATACTGTCCTTACTTTTATGATGATCAATATTTTCTAACCGTATTTTCTGTTTCTTCTCTCCCTCTCCTCTTCGTTTTTCCTTGTCTCTGTTACCTCCCTCTTATTCCCTGATTTCTTTCCTGCCCATTATTTCTTCCCTTTGTTACCTTTTCTCCCTCCCCCCTCTCTTCTCTTCCTTCTTCCCTTTCCCTCCCCTTTCTCCTTCCCTTCTTCTTTTCTCCTTCCTCCCCTTTCCCCTTCTCTTCTCCTCCTCCTTCCC